CGCATAGATTGATGATACAATGTATGTGCCATCAAGACACAGGTCTATGTGAGCATTGACGATACAACCATACTATTATTAACATTGTGAACATAGATATATATGGTTATTCATTCTCATTGTCAATATGTTTCTTATATAAAAATAATTAAAATGTCGCATCAATTCAAGACACGTGTATATGGCCAGTGACATTACAATCAATTGCACTATAGTCTACAACTTACTAATATGTGACCCATTGAGAAAACCAGGCCATCTGCGGGAATTATCAATTAGAGATATGGCTTCTTAAAGTTGTGACAGCGGTACATTATCAAAACTGACATTATACCACAAATATATCGTATAAAGAATTTCCTTTCATTTGATACCAAATTTGCCTTAAATAACTTGAAAGAGGTCATTTACTGACCTTTCTTTTTGTTGTGTACCATGTAAATAATGCATGATATAATGATAAAAATGACTGTAACTCAATTTCATTCGTTTAGACTTCTTGTTGCATAAATAAGCATAACTCAGCACTAGATGTGTCAAATGACTTGGAAGAAAGACCAAAAGATAGGAAAAACTTTGCTTAATTAAGAAAACCATAAATCTCAATTTTCAATTTTGGAGCATATAGCCTGGTTTTCTCATATCGGGTCACATATAATTATAATGGTTAACAAATGTCTGGTAAGACTTATATGCATGTACACAAAGGCTGAGCTAAGTAAGGCAAGATATAACTTTATGAACAATGTAAAATGACACAGTGAACACTGAACAGACATGTAATGAAATGAGTACATAGTGAATGCATGTTTTATACCATCATTTACTTAAAGTGCTTTAGTAGTGACAATTAATGAAGTACCAAATACATTAAAGTTCAGTCATAACACATGTATCTCTACTCATTCTCGTTGCTGTCTGTGTCACAACTGTCATAAAAAATGCAGTGTGACAATGACAAACATGTTACATATGTAGTGAAGACTACTTAAACATTACTCTTCATTGTATTTCTATTACTGATAGACTTGAAAATAAATAACAAAGAGAGTCATTATTTCATATTAAAGGTAAACACTATGTAATACTCATTTGTATGTATAAGCATAAAGAAATGATGACCGTATATGGTTTTGAGTATGCCAGAAAATATTAGTGATGATACAGTGTATGTGCCATCAAGACACATGTCTATGTGACCTTTGACATTACAATGCATGGTTTAAACTATCAGTTATATATAATATGCCATTGTATTCACCCTAAAATTTATGCATTTATGATGATAATAATGGACTAACAAATTAAGTATTGTATACCAAGCAATTGTCTTGAATACAGTCTCACAGCCTGTCTCTCACCCTCTGTCTGACATAAAAATGGGAGTATGTGGATAATATGATTAAGTAGGTGTGGCCAAAGGTGAAATGCTATAATTATATGAAAATGTCAAGACACCTTCAGAAACAAGCAAGAATGGGTAAGTGCAAAATTTTGTAAATTGAAATTATACTTTGTTTTAAAGGTGCAAGGAAGAGAAAAGGTAATGAAGATTTGCAACGAAATACTATTATTGGATATACAATAAGGTGGTGAGAAAAAAGGAGGAAAAGAAGAGGTTGGAGGAAAAGAAGAGGTTGGAGAAAAAGGAAAAGGTTAATGATGTAATTTTCTATGAATACTAACATAGCTTTAAATAGAGAAAGAAGGGTTTATGAGACCTGAAGGGACGGAAGTAGAAAAAGGTGAGTGACAATTTCATTGTCAGTGTAATTTTCTGTATTAAGCAGAGAAGAGCAATTTGGTGAAATAAGATGTGATAGAAGTGAAACAGACAGGTTTGTGAATAAAGATTGTATTACAATGTGCCATAAAAGTGTCATTGATAGATGAGGAAGTAGTGATAGGAAAAGGTAAGTTAATTATTCTATGTTTTAATGGTGTGTTATAAATAATCAGTAAAAGACAAAGATGAAGTGCGTGTAGAAAGTCAAGAAGAAAGAGAAAATGAAGGAGGTATGTGACTATAGATTGGTCTTACCATAATGTCATATTTTGATGGCTTAGGAATAATCACGGAGGAGATGGAAATTTTCACCAAATGTCCACTTGAGGAAGAGACAGCTCGGGCGGACATTCCCAGCCTGACCACAAACAATCAGGTGACACCAGGTCCTACTCTGCCATCAACTACTGTCCTCTCAAGGGAAGAATGTATTGCTAAAGCAAAGGCATTGAAAAGAAAATATGAGGAGTGTAATAAATGTGGCCTGCCAACTGAAGTGAATCTAGAAGTACCCCTCCCTGCAGAAAATAGACCTAAGAAATGTAAAATAGAAATTAAAATTACTTTTATATAGTACTTGATGTTAAATAACTGCACAGCAAATAGTCCTTAGTGAGTTAATGCACAAAAATTTGCCTAAGAACATAAAGAAAGTGGTATGAGTCCATGAGAATGACCTGCCCATCACTGTCACATAGCGCCATTAGTGTGTGCGATAATCTATGGGTGTGTACCTCCACCCTCTCATTATTTTAATTAATAATTATGATGATAAGGAAATGCAAAATTCTTAGTTTTCAAGAGAGAGAGAAAAGTCAAGAAAGATGACAAAGGGAGATGCATAAAGTGTGCATGCAGTTGAGTGTGTGGCCATAAAAAGTTTAGTGATTAGTTGTGACTATCAATTAAGTGATGCCAAGTTCTCCAACTAGTCCCATTTCTGTAAGGAGTCAGTAGATGCCGTTGTGGCAAGTGTATATACTTCGTGTGTTTAACATGAGAGTTTTACAAACTGTGAGAGAAGAATAGGTGTAGAGAGAATGAAGATCCTGTTTTTGTTAATGTGGACAGACCCATTGAAGAAAGTGGTACTAATTGAAACAAAAGTGCAAAATACAAGTTGAAATGAAATTTATATGATTAATATTACTTGATGTTGCAGAAAACTGATAACTGAAGTGAAACATCCCGGAAATTTAATTGCAAAGGAGTCGGAAAAGGTATATCCATGATGTGGGAAGAACATTGGGTTTAGTAATCCTGTATGAGTCAGTGGCATAGAGAGGAAATGAAGGGACAGATGTGGGGAGATTGAAGGAGGTGGCCATCGTCATGTCATGAATCTGGACATGTCTCTTGGTCCTGGGAGAAGCATTGCTATATGTAAAATACAAGTTAATTATATTTTACATTATTACTTTATGTTAAAATAACTAAATGGAATGGCTAAAAATGATTTCTTGACAGTAAGAAATGCTGGGGTATCCATTATGTGCTAGAGAAAAAGAGGCCCATGTAGTTGTGTATATACTTGTTATTCGTGTCCATTGGAAGATATTTTTTTCTAAAAGATGAGTATGCTTATGTACATGTATGATGTTATTATGCTATACATACTTGAAGATAAGGCAATATTAGTTGTCAATTTCGTACTTTAATGGAACTTTTTTTTAATGTCAGTAGTGCAGCACAATAATGATGAGCAATCATTGTCAATTGTTTTCTTACGAGTACAAAAAAATAAGTGAGATACTTTAATGTGACTGACTTTTTGGATTAGATAAATAATTTTACTAGGAAGACTCTTTTATCACAATTTAGAAGTGATCCTGTATTATATAAGAAGTGATCCTGTATTCTATATAAATCAGCAGTCGGTGGTATTATGAATGAATGCTTGCTTTTTATGGGAGGAGCATTTAGCAAAGACAGGGAATAAAGGGACAGTGGAAAGTCAGGAAACGTTTTGTCATGAATGTGGACCAACCTCTCTTGGTTGTAGAAACTGCATGGGCATACGTAAAATACATACAAATTAATAATTTAGAGTTACCTGATGTAAAAGTAACTGTATATGACAGTGATATACATGTAGTAGAAAGATTTGTTTAATGTAAGAATGCTGGCACTCAAAAAGGTATCTGTCATGTGTTAGAGAACATTAGGCATATGCAGTTGTGTACTTGCTATAAGTGTCCATGTGAAGAAGTTAACTTTTCCTAAAAGAGAGTAAATTATTATATAATTTTAGATTTGGTACTATGGGTTGTCATGTTTTCTACTTAAATTCTGTCTTGATTCTGTATTAAGTACAGCAAAGCAATCATTGTAGATTGTTATCTTAAGCATAAAGAAGTGAAATATGTACATGTAAATATGACTAACTTTTTTGATAACATGAATAGTGTCACTAGGGACATTGCTTTATGATGATTGAGAAGTAAAAAATGACAAGCATAATGTTTCATCTAAAAAGTGTAAAATATGTATTAATAATTGTGATAACCACTGTGATTTGCTAAATAGATGTTACTTTTTATGTCATTTTTATACAATGGAAAATGAGCCATTGATGATTACTAAAGGTAAGTTATTATGATGAAGTGACATAGATATCTATGATAATAATACTGATAGACATCACCATAAAAGGTGTTGTTTTACAATGAGAAAATATACTTTAGGTAAATGCAAATAAGAGTGATAACAACAAGTTAATTGTTATTATGTGTTCACTGCCTTTATAATAGATGAGCATTATTATTTCTTACTTATGAGTGGGTAATATATTTGCTAATAGTAAAATGACAAGAGAGAACTGCAATGAATTTTGACTGTTTTATGATGAAGAAACAATGATGACCACTATTAGTTTTTTTAACAGAAGAAATATGTTATAATAAGTTCATTATTTGTAAAATTAAAAGAACTTTGACAGTACTTTTTGTTTAATGTAATGAAACATGAAAATTTTGTAATGGTCTAGTACAAAGAGAAAGAGACAGTGACAACAATAGTATTAAGAAAAAAAACTTAATGTAATGTAGTAAATTCTGCAAATTCTTGCTTTTATTTGTGACAAAAATGCTCCTTTTTGAGGTATATTGTTTGCTTCTTGGAAAATGTAATATTGATGACCGCTGTTATTTTTTCTAAGGAGAAAAATACATGTAGTTATGTAAAGTATTATAATATAAATATATGCTACTTTTTCAGGTTTGTAGTTCCTATTATGCTTGGTTGACTAGGTACATAATTTGAAGTGCACTGATAAAGTATGTAAACATGTGACATGATTAATTTAATGCTGTTTACCCATTGTAAGTGGCAACATGATGATCTGTTTGTGCAAGAGAAAGGTCAAGTTCTATTTCTAAAGGGAATGGCATTTTAAGGGCAATCAAGATAGAATGATAACCTTGAAATGTATGGGATTGGAAAAATTGCCAAAGAAATTCATGTCTCATCCTGTGTGTATTGAAGTATATACACAGTAGATTTCATATTTTGTGAATAGTAGCTATACTGGAACTGATTTGACAATTGTATGTGACAAAATTACCTGTAATGAAGAGAAATAACATTGAAAACAAAGGGGAAGTCTTACCTTTATCTTGCTTGTGGGATATGATTTTTTTGGGACACGGGACACATTCAACATGTAACATTTAAAAGTGAAATTATGACAATGAAAACATGTCAGTTTAAGGTGATCAACTGTGTATTTTTAAAAGGCATATGAGAACACATTCAACATGTTTGATAGATTTATCCAAACAAGTGAATATAGCGGTAAACCCATTATACCTGTGTAAAACTTAATCCACTATGTCAGTCACTATTTCATAGTGATTTGGTGGATGGCAAAGATATAGCGATGGTGCAACATTTAAATATTGCACAGCTATGCTAGCATGGCAAATAGCAGCAGTCCACCGAACATCAATCCAATTATAAGGTGCACAATTACACAGTTAGAATATTGCTTCTACATCTGCAGGGATTATTAAAAATAAGAATAGAAGTATGCAGTAAGTGGTCCATAGCATAAATTTCAACTTCTGATGCCCAAGTACGATTTCTTGCCATTTTAGATCTTTCAATATACATTATTCATTGTAGCTAGAGTATCTGGTGCATTAATGTTTTACTGCAATCTATTGAGGCAATGCACAAATAAATGTGACCATAATTGACAAAAGGTACCTTATGGCGGGTAGTGAAATTTGTCTTTATGGCATAAGAAATCCAACTTCCTGAGCCCCATTTATCATAAAATTACTCCACAGGATGCAAAAAGTTACCATGAAACTTTTAGAAACAATGATTGTCTAACAAAGCACTCACAGGTTGATATTTTTCATTATAACAATCAATTTTAAAATCTGCCATAAAGGCCCTTTTGTCAATTATGGTCACAAATGGCTACAACTTCTCATGTGTTCTATTACTTTTGCACGAATATGTAGATGCTGCTGTTGCGTTCCAGTTATGATATGAGATATGGAACAAAAAAAGTAGTTGCCATCCCCTCTGATGCTAACACAGGTTTGAATGCTTGGACATCTAAGCTGGATATTTGGGCCCCTATTTCTTACACCATTGGATGCAATGAACTGCATACCTAAAATTTGGCAGGTTGCTCTTTGCCAGGTTACTCAACCAGGGATGTAGATGATGTCAGGCCAATTTGTAGTGGGCCTAGACCTTGACTGTGGTGGTGCTGACTTAGTTTCATCAACAAGACAGTCATCATCTGTACTTTCATTGTCACTTGCAATGTTTGTGGAAAGTTTTTGACGCTTATTTGGTACATTTTGACAAGGAGGAGAAAGGCTCCTCTTCATAAGTTTTATGAAAC